CCCCCCAACCCCCCGCCATCCCATCACATCCCATCTCATCCACGCCCACCACCACAACAAACAACCCCTAAACACAACCCCGACACGGCCCCAGCGGATCCACCTCCCGCACCCTTCATGCCCTGCCGCAGACGCGCCAGAGCAACTCAGCAGCGCGCGACTACGCGGACGCGTCGGCACTTCCGAACAGCGCAGGAGGAAAGCGGGTGCATATGGTGTGGTGGTCTCTCTTAGTCCTCTCTCTCTCTCCAAGAAAGGTTCGTAAAATGCTTGTATGTATGTATGTATCCTACGCATCATTTTTTTCCTTTCTTCTTTTTTCTTCTTCTCCCTTCTGGTTCTCTATTCTCCAGACAGTGAGTAAGTCATTAGCGAGTCAGAAAGCTAGCCAGCTAGTAAGTAAGTAAGACAGGATTCATCGAGTAGCACCCACTCACTCACTCACTACTCACTTACTCCCGCTCCCGTCTCGCTGTATCAGAAATCCGGAGAGTGACTATATCTTCACAACCCAAACTCACTTCCAAAACCCACCCCCCTCTCTCTCCCTGGCATATCCCCCTCCCACACGTATGAGTGATTCCTCAGCGAGAGAAGACGAAAGCAAGGATGTACTTGTCCCTTCCCCTCTCCCCTCTCCCTCCCCCTCCGATACGAACCTCCCAAGACCAGCGCCACCGCATCCACTGCACGTCCAGCTCCTCGCCCCTCCCGTCTCGTGAGCCCAGCATGAATGGGTTAGACAGCTCCAGAGGTTGGAAGGGGCGTAGGGGGAGAACCAAGGGTATCCAGGGAAGAGGTGGTTGGGTTAGGTAGATAGATTGGTTTCCGTAACGGTGTCGTGGTTTGTATTGTAGTGTTTTAAAAAAGAGGGGGGGGGGGGGGCTTGTGGAGAGGGGTGGATAGATGGATAAATGAAAGCTAGAAAGCAAGAAAGAAAAGAAAGCAAGAAAGAAGAGAGAGAGAGAGAGAGAAAGAGGAAGTACGGGGTGATTTGCATCAATTGTCTAAGCCATTTTGTCATGCCACAGCCAGCCGACTCCCAGCCAGCCGGCATAAGAGCCTCCCATCCAGAGCACCTTCCGGGGACAGACCAACCCGTCATCCCGGCCCAACCCCGTGGCACCATATCAAGCAAGCAAACTAGCAAACAGCCCCCACGCCGTTGTTTTGGATGTAAAATACATACCGGAAGTTCCATGTAAAAGCAAGAACCAATAGAGCAGACCCTGGGCTCCAGCCTCTATCCCTGGAACTATTCAGAAGCAGAAAGAGCGGACCGGAAAGGGAAAAGCCAGAAAAATTCAAATCAAATCGCTGAGCCCGCCCCGTTCATGCACCGTTTTATGCAAGGTTCGTAAAGCCGTAATCTTCTTTTCTCTCGTCTCAATTATTAAAACCCAATTTTGTGGTCATCGTGGAGAAAAAGACACATGAAGAAGAAAGAAGAAGAAAAAGGGAAAATCATCGAGAAAATTTATGAGTCTGCGAACAAGCTGCGTTGAGACCGGCCGAAATGGCCAATGAACCGCAGTTCACGAAACGCGCTGTGGGTATTGGGTATCTTTTGCTCATCATCGGATTTTGCGTGATGTAAAGAATTCGGAAGAAATCGATTATCGTTCAAGAAATCCGCAGCTTGTTAGAAGGGTCTGTTTGTCGGGGCTGCTCTTGTTCAGCCTGACGGGCATCGTTTTGAGCACCTTGAGCCGCGGCCCCAACCAAGGTCTCGCCCGCAGTCTCAACGCCTTGGAATTTGTCGACGCTGTCTGGCTTGGTGCCATTGATGCCATTGACGTCCCCAAAGTTAGACTCGGAGCCTGAAGAGCTATCCATCCGATATGCCTCAGGCTTTTTGACGAGGAGGGCGTTGGAGGCAAGCGTGGCCGACGTTGTAGTACTTCGGTTGTCGCGTCCACAATCATTGTCACTGGCTTCCTCACTCGGACTTCCCTCATTTCCAGAGCTGGTGGGTCGGGTCATGATAGCATCCTTCAGAGCCTTGGCTTTCGCCATCATCTGTGTAGCTTGCTGCTCGGCACGCTCAGCCTTGATCTGCTTTCGCCACATGTTGTAGTAGCGGCCCTTCTTCTCCAGCAATTCCTTGTGAGTCCCAGCTTCGTCAACCCGACCAGCATGGAGAACAACGATCTGGTCAGCACTGGTGATTGTTGACAGGCGATGACTGTGGACTGAGTTAGTAATTTACTTGACTTGACCGCGAAAAACAGGACAACTCACGCAATGACAAGCATAGTCCGGCCTTGAGACAAGGTTCGCAGTGCCTCTTGGATGTTCTGTTCAGTATCTGAATCCAAAGCCGCCGTAGCCTCATCTAGCATGATGATGCGGGGGTCCTTGAGGATGGTACGAGCAATAGCCACACGCTGTTTCTCTCCACCACTTAGACGAAGACCGCGCTCTCCGACTTTGGTCTCGTACTGATCCGGGAAGGCCATGATCTTGTCGTGGATGGAAGCTGCGCGGCATGCTGCGTAGACCTGCTCGTCCGTGGCCGCCTGGTTGGCGTACTTCAGATTGTACATGAGAGTCTCATTGAACAGAATGGTATCCTGTGGAACTACTCCGATGTGGCGCCGCAGAGAATCAATGGTAATGTCTCTAACATCAGTGCCATCGACTTGAATACTTCCATCTTGGGTGTTGTAAAACCGGAATAAAAGTCTGAAGACGGTTGACTTCCCCCCACCAGATTCCCCAACAAACGCAGTGGTGGTGCCAGGACGGCAATTGAAACTAAGGTTTTCCAGGGCAGGCTTGCGTTGGTCGTAGGAGAATTTGACGTTCTGGAAACTGATTTGGCCTTCACAACCTGGCATGGCCTTTGCTTCGAGCTCGTCGACAACAGTGGGTTGCTCTTTGAAAAGCTCGAGGAGTCTCTCTCCGCTGATCATTGCGCTCTGTACGCTCCGGTAGAACGAGCCAAAGAAATTGAGGGGCTGTTGGAGTTGCGCCATGTAAGTCAAGAGCGTTACGAAGTCTCCCGCCTTGCGAATACCAGTTGTAACTTGATATGCAGAAATGAAAGACGTGACAAGGAGACCAGTCATGAACACCATGTTCTGTGAAATATTGAGAATATTCAAAGATATCGTGACCTCGTACTCCATTGCCTGGAACGCGATGACCGCTTTGCGATATCGATTGAACTCGTATTCCTCGGCATTGAAATACTTGACAGTCTCATAGGAAGTGAGAGAATCGTTCTTGACTGCATCCTCCTCTCGGCTCAGATTTGTCATGGCTCGTCTCTGGGTAGAGCGCCATCGGGCCATCCGGATTGTAAGGTAGAGGTAGGCGAACGTGATCATGGCAACCACTAAGGCATAGTAGGCGTCGAAAGCAATACCAAAGTACACAATTGCAACCCCTAAATCAAAAATCATGGGGAGAACTTGAAACGTGATTTGCTCGAGGAAATTGTTGATAGCGTTTCCTTTGCTCAGAGCAGACAAGACCTCTCCTGTTCGCTTACCCAAGTGAAAGTCAAGACTGAGACTGTGAACATGCTCAAAAGATGCTGTAGTCAATGCTCGGTAGGAGTATTGAGAGATAGGAATCCAGAGTACAGATCTAATGGCTCCCAGGATACCACCAGTACCCTGCAGAAACTTGAATCCGATGAGCATGGAGATCGAGAGCCAAGGCATACCAGAGGTCTCTCCATCTCGATTGGCGAGTTGGTTGGTGAGGCGACCAAGCTGGATGGGCACAGCAATGTTGACCACCCGTTGAAGTATAACCAGAAGGAAGCAAACCAGAACCACAAGCTGAAGGCGGACAGATCTGCTTGGCCACAAGTATGGGAAGAAGAGAGAATAACCTCTGAGATATTCGTACCAAGTCTTATTTGGCTGCACGGTTGGCTTGTAGAATGCGGGTTCCTCTGTACTCTTGCGGGTGTTGGGAGTAACGAATCCAGCAGCACATTCACCATGACCAATTGTTCCATTATCATGAACATGTCCATTTCCGTTAGCCTGGCCGTTGACAAGGAGAGGGGTCTGCTCGTCAGAATCCCCTCGTGACTCGCTTCGTTGATTGTGACTGCGTTCGAGGGAGAAAATAATGTAGAATGTGAAGAGGGCCAGTAAGACTATGACTCGGGCTATATCAATTGTTAATTGGACAGCCTCCCAATCTGTTGGTGAATCGTAAATCTTCTCGCTGTCGTCCTTTTTCTTCAGAGAATTGATTTCCTTATGAGGACTGGTGTATAAGGCAATATTCCCCCCTAGCAGTACGACTTCCATGATAATGGAAAAGCCCCATGTAATTTGGTGAGCGATGTTGGGAGATGGCGTCGTGTCCACCAGAGAGATGAGGAAGATGCTATAGAAGAAGGCCGATGCACAAACATATATCTAGTCGAAATTGGGTTAGTTATGCCGGTCTTTGAAGAAATAAGAACGTTCTACTACTTACAGCCGCAGCTTCACCACACCACCAACCATTCGCAGTATCGGTGAGAGCATGAGCAATGATGTTGATTGCATTTGCCACAAAAGTCGCAAGAAGTGCAGCAGAAAGGTAGAAGAAGAACAGCTTTCTGCCATGGCTGAAATCCTTGTCCTTCTTTCTCTTCTCCCTCTCTTCTTCGTTCTTTCGAGCCGTTCCGCGGGGTAGTGGCTTTCCACCAGGACCGAGTCGAACGGGACCTAGCGACTCTGCAGCGTTCTCAGCGGAGAGAATAGAATTCGTAACAAAAGCTACGATAAATATGATAAAGAGGGCGGGTGAAGAGTAGAAATGGACGAAGTTGAGAAGCTTGGTGGACAAATTCGAAGCTCCATCTTGACTTCCAAGCTGTGAGCTTAGCTCATATGCCTCTGCTGCCATTACAATTATGGGATAGTTCCGTTTCCCCCGTCCCTCATCAGATTTCCGGTTCGTAAGAGGGTTGTTGACAGCTCATGGCACCTTAGATGGCGACGAGCTTCAATTGAGGTGCTCGGGGCGAACGCGAAGCAGACGCAGCCTCGGTACGGCAATCGCCACCTGCAAGATCATGAAATGGTGTCAGCGGGTGTGGCTTGCATGCGTGCGTGCGTGCTGGTGGCTGGGTGGAGCAGAGCTCATGTGATGAATAAAAAGAAGCTGGAATGAGACTTTTGAGGTTGGGAGGGGTTCGAGTATGCAGTGAGGTGGTATGGAGCCTTTCCAGATAATAAGGACGGAGGAGGAGAGGGGGGGGGGAGGGGGAGGGGGAGGGGGAGTTGGGTATGGTAACTTACCTCAGAGCAGGCGCGTTAAGGTGAGCGCGGAGATAGGTGAGAGCGCTGGAACAGTATGGAGACTCTAGATCCTAGAGTCGCGGTGTACTCCGTAGTCGACCGAGATGGAGGGAGATCGACACACGGGACCCAGGCAGGACCTTACTGGTGGTATTGATGGGACGGTGGTGTCGATCTAGAGAATCGGCCTGGACCTGGAACTGGATATCACCTTCGACCTGTTTGTTATAGACAAGGATCGGGGCCGTGCAGTCCTGCACTACCGGTTCGGAGGGAGAAGTCGAGATGTATGGTGTGGGATGGGATCGTATCGTGTGGTATCTGGGAACGTCACTGGCACACCAGATCTGTTTCCTCTGACCTTCGGCGACGACGAGGTTTTGTTTGATGTAGTTCGGAATGGATTGGAATGGATTTGTATTGGAGAGGAGGAGGGGGGGGGGAAGGGTTGTAGGATCTTTGTGGAAGGAGGAGGATTCGAGGTGAAGTGAAGCTCTCTATGGCTCTATGGGCAATTCGATCGAGCCAGTGTGGCGCTACGCTCACCGCCCCGAGCTAGCGACTAGGGTCCTTTGGCCAGGCCCGTTCTTTCCGTTCTCTGTGGAGCGTTTGCCTTTAATGCAATCCGTGCAGAAAGAGAGAGATGTACAACTAGTTGTTTGCAGTATATGCAAAGATGTATGCAGCAAGTCGCATGCAGTCTCTATCTATGTTGCGACTAATATATATGCAGCGGCGGCGATACACCCAGCTTACGTAGTCGGTAGAGTTGAGTTTAGTTGAGTCGAGTTGAGTTGAGTTGAGGCGAGTCGAGTCGAGTCGAGTCGCGTCGAGTTGATTTGATAGCAGACTCACAAACTCTCAGACTCTTATTAGACTCTTAGATTCTCAGACTCTCCGACTCTCCGACTCTCCGACTCTCAGACGCAAGACGCGAGCCGCCTCCGGAAGAGGAATCCCAGATCTATTACTAGCTAGCTTGGAGTGCATCCAGTACCGGATAATACAATAGAACACGAGAGATCTTCAGTTCAGATGCAGCAAGGGTGTCACATATACAGCTAATACTCCTAGCTGCGGCGAGCACAGACAAGCTCGGTCCGTAGTTTCTCCCGACGTTTGAAGACCTTAAGGCATTTCAGATATCGAAGGCCGTTTGACTTTTGGTGTTGGACGGACACTCACTTTGTTTGAGGCTCGTCGTCAGTCAATCATTCAGGCAGTGAGTCAACCAGAGACGGTGGTTCGGTTTGGAAGCAGAGGTGTTTGGATTTCTCTTCTGATTTCGTATGGATCGATCAGTGATATGGATCTGCCCTAGTCCGGGTCCTGGTCCTGATCCTGGTCCGGAAGAGCTTCTATTATGCCGCATTGGCACGATATCTATTCTGGAACAAGGTTCAATTATTGAGAAATTACGGAATACATAAAGTCTGGACTCCCTTGGTGTTCCTTACTGTTACCGATCTGACAAATGGTGATGCTGCACCTCTTTATTTACGAGCACCCGGTTGCTGGGATCCAGTCTCTTCTACGGTTCTGCCTCTCTATGGCTGATAGAACGGGACTTGATGAGTTACCTATATATATTTAGCTGTATATTTTATTATAGCTTTCATGCGTGCACATATATAGAAATCTGTTTTCCTGTACCACACACACTGGAAGTCATGGGGCACCCTTCATATGACCAGAATGGGTCAACTGTTAATTGCTTCTATTTCTTTGTTTCTCTCGCATCACACCATTGACGGCCTTATTCCCCTTTATCTATGACTTCAACTCAGCTGATCGTGTCGTGACCAATCCAGTGTCTCAGTCCGATACTCACACGTCGGCCACACCGTCACACTACTACAAGCTCTAGAAGGTCTAGAAGGTCTAGAAGGTCCAGACTCCCAACGTGGTCTCAGTCGCTGTTCCCGTTGCCTGTCCTGTCCCTATTCCCCAGTACAATCAACTATCTACTCAAGTTTGCCTAGTGTATCTCTAACAGCCACTTGGAAATCGCCTCTCAACACTTCATTCTCAGAATACCTATCAACGCTTCAATAGCTATCAACGCTTCTTCGACCACCCTCATCACTGCCCACTGCCCCGGAACAACGGAACAACGGGGCAACGGAGCCACGGAGGAGCTGCATGGCGAGCCACCTGCATAGCGACCTGCATCTGCATCTGCATCTGTATCTGCATCTGCACTTGCATCTGCATCTGCATCTGCACGGTCTCCAGTTCGCGACCGCATTACAGTATTTGTCCGAAAAGAAGGCCAGCATATCCTAAGCGAGATTTCCCCAGGGGCAACCTTAATTGGACACTCATCCTCAAGAAATCACCCCTCGCAACAACAAAACCACCTCCTCTACTTCCATCACTCCAACACCCGAGCTCGCAAAACCGGTACCAGTATCCATGCATATCAAGAGCCGCTCATATCTCAGCTACGTCGCTCTGTGTGACGGACGATGCATCTACCTAGCCATTGATACCCTCTTGATTCATGCTCCCACATCACTGGCCCGGAATCGATACGGCGGTGAGAAACTCTGTCAATCAATCAATCAATCGAAAAAACAAGCAAGCAAGCAAAGCTCCCGATCGTCACCGTCACCGTCCCCTTCCCTCTCTTCCCCTGCGCCGCCAATCGCATACACTTACCGGTCTCTCCACGTCGATGCCGTAGCCCGTCGCTCCCGTAGCCCGTCGCTCCCGTAATCCGTCGCTCCGTCGCTCCGTCGCCCTGTCACCCTAGATCTCTTTCTGGAAATGGCCCGAGAATGATCGGCATGTTTCAAACGTCTCTCCGGCCCTCCGGCCCTCCGGCAGCAGCGTGGCCTATATAGTCTTCGGGTTTGTCTATGCGCACCGCTCCGAACGGCTCTACGTGGCTCCTGGGTGGGATAACATGCCCTCGGAAATGCAAGCCATTCATATGTGGACTAGTTACCTAGAGTACACACGTACACTCTCCCTCCTTCTCTTTTCAGAAGCGGACTTCCTGCGCCCCCGGCCATACTCTATCAGTCGGAAGCCATTTCCGTAGCTGGTTATACATTCAGCGTATGAACCACTGCCTAATCTTGTTCTCTGCAGACGCACAGCGTCTTCGGCGCCAGCATCCAGGTCCCGGGCCCGGATCCGAAAACGGCAAATGCAAAAACTCGCCATTCTCTTCTCTCCTCTCTCGCAAGCACGCAAGACCTTTCTCTCTCCCCACAGATCATAGATCATTAAGTATGTAATCGATCGGTCAGCACCTCTGCAGCTAGCGCACTTGCATTGCTCGTCTCCTCATCCCTGCCTTCACCCATAGGCAAGTCGAGTGGAGTAGCGGTAAGCGGGTGGCCGCCGGCCGGGCCCGGGGCCTTGGTAGCTGCATATCCACAAGTTCAACTAGGTACTTTACTAGGTACGTGAATCTCCACGGGGAAGCTAGTTCGGGTGAGAGATCGTATGACTCCAACGGCGCGTATGGGTCGGTGAGGTGAGCCTTGACGATACAAGTAGATTTCAACCTATCGATTTGAAACTACCGTACGTAGTACACCTCGACTGCAACACACGACTACGCTCCAGAATTTGAAAGCAAGAGGAAAATACATACAAAAGAACATACCATTCTCCCCATAAATTCTCGTGAAAGAAAAACATGGCTGCTATACCACTCAATAAGTAGGTAAGTACGCAAGTAAGTGAAGTCCCGAATCCACATGCTCTGATCTACGGCTTCGAAGTGACCGAGAATTACAAGGACGCCGCGAGTTCTATAGTAGGGGGATGGGAGTAGGGTTGTGATTTTTTCATATATATATATATAAATACAAATACGAAAGATTTCAAAACCAAACCGAATCTGACTAGTTCAGCCTAGCCCGGCCCAGAAATTACAAATAATCAAGCATGACAAAGGAAAAGTACAGAGGAAGTCACCTGCCAATTCAATCCAATCAAACCCCACCACCTTCTTTTCGCCGTCCGTCCACTTGTAAGCTCCCTCATTCGCGTACCTGTTTATCTATTGGTTTATCGGTTTAGTATCTAAAGAAAGAGAAGCGGGAAAGAGTGGACAGTGGACAGTGGAGAGTGGAGAGTGGAGAGTGGAGAGTGGAGAGTGAAGAGTGAAGAGTGAAGAGTGAAGAGTGAAGAGTGAAGAGTGAAGAGTGAAGAGTGAAGAGTGAAGAGTGAAGAGTGAAGAGTGAAGAGTGTATAGACAACGGAAGGGAAAGCTTGATCTGCGGGCTATGGAGGTGGAGAACGGGAAGGAAACGGGGGCAAGGGGACGTAGAGGGACCACCTGCCTCAAACAGTCACGTGTCCTACATTTGGACGATGACCGAGTTGCCAAAGCGAATGAATGGATTGTTGTCTCTGCAATGCAGAGCTCTCTGCTCTGCAAGCTGACATACCTACCTACCTACCTACCTCTCCCCACCACTAGGTACTGGTGCACGCGCCCTTGTGGCCGGCCTCGTCTGCCTGAGGCTGCGGCAGTCCCTCCTCAAGCTTTCAAGCAACTTCGATCCCCTCCCTCAGCTTTCCGCCCATCGCAGCATATCAACAACCGCTATTCTACTTATTTCCACCACCCTTCCTTTGCGATACCTACTTGTCCTGGCTGGCTCCTCGAGCAGACGGGCGCAGAGCGAGGAGATATCGATACGACACACGAGATCTATAAGATGCGACCGGTATACTATTACTTCTCAGCAGCATAGGCCAAACAGGTGCGGAAGCGGATATTACAGAGTCCACCGCGACACGGCACCCCGACGAGGAGGCTGCCCGGTCGTGAAGAATACGAGCGTCTAATACGCAACGCTGTTCCCATTCGCAGTCGAGCCGGCCGCCGGGCGAAACTTTTGTCGTCGTGGGTGGCTCAGCCCCAACCTCACAGCCCCCAGGAGAGTCACGCGCGAAGAAGGAGCGGCCCTCTTCGCGATGCCGAGATGTAACGATCTCCTCGGCCTAGAGATCCTCGCGATCAGTCGAAAGAAAGAGACCGGGTGACAGAAGGCGTGAAGAGGATGGCTTACATCACGTGCAATAAGTAGAGTGAAGTTTCTAAACTATATAGATATAGGTATATATGTAATTTTTTTTTTCTTAGGTCCATTACCAATGATATACGGTAGGTAGACTCATATAGACCGATACAGCGTCCTTCTTCACGTCGAAGGGAAGCATCCCCCTCACTCAGCGGGACAGGATCCGACAGCCGTCGGAACCCTTTACCGCGTCGCTCAAGTAGCCGCTCCCAATCTCCAAAAGGCTCACCAAATCGCCGGATTGCACCTCACAGTAAACAACTCGCGATCGTGAACCTCTCGCAGCCGAGAAGATCACTCCTCCTCCTCCTCCTCCTCCTCCTCCTTTCTACTCGACTATCCAGTCAGCCGAAGCTTTCAATTTGTACAGAAAGTAGAAGCACAGAAGCCAAGCGGGGAGTTTGTGAGCAACTTATTGATAGTTGTTGAGATGGAGAGGAGCGGCAGATTAGCTTTCGCTGTTTCGTTCTTGAGGGTGCAGAGATGACTTTTTCTGAGAACGCAAGACTTGTCAATGTATGGACTTCGACGAGGATGTGCTAGAACGTGCGCTATCTTTAATGGCTGATCAAATGAGAAGATGTTCGGAGAGCATCGAGGCACACTTTTTAAGACGAAGAAGGGCTCTGATGATCGGAGAGAGGGAATCTAAAGTCAAAGGATCGCAAGAACCGTCACGTCGTTGAACTTGAACAGCGCAGTATCGCACGTGCGAGGCAACCGGAATCATAGCCCACCAATTCTCATTAATAAACTTCGTATAGATATGATCACTACAAGAAGCGTAACGACTGTTCCAGGTGTTCTCGGCATCCTCCCCTGCCTTCCACCCCCGCCTTCATGAAAATGTTGACCCGAATAAGGCAGGTAAAGAGATCTCTAAAGGATCTTTGTCATCCAGGACAAAGTAACGACAGTCGTAAAGTCCAGGCTAGTCTCCATACCAAATGTGACTGCCTCTCCCGTCATTACAGCTTTGAGACACGACGCCCCCAATGGTGCTCGTAACCCCACACACCAAGATCGGATCAGCGTGCGTGCGTTTGCCATCAGATCAAGCTTTCGTCCTGCCAGTTTCCTTCCGATTTGCAGCCCCATTCGACAGGGTCTTCGCCCCACTGCTCGCTGCAATCCCATAGCCCTTGGCAGCGCCATTCATAGATTGCCCATTCAGCAGCACCACCGCAGGGCTAGCAGTTCCTTCCTTCAGCGCCCGCCTGTCTCTTGCCTCCGCATCCAGCCTCTCCTCCTCTTGGAACTCATTCTCATCGTTATCACTTCTGTCGTCGTCCGCAGTGCCTACAAAAACAAACCGGTATGCGATGCGCAAGATGTAGTACAGCCAGAAAAGGTTCAGGCCTTGGAGAGCGGCAAGTAGGATGGTGGAGATCCAGTGCGAGAGAGCGCATTTGTATTGTTCGGTTGCCCAGTTGAGTTCGTAGGGGCCGACGGTCTTGAACTCATTGAATTCGGACCAGAGGATGCGGAGGTTGAGGTAATGGCGCAGGTATATCCAGGCGACGACGAAGAATCCGAAATAGGGGCCGACGAGTGGGTGGTCGAGGTAGTTGAGAGTTTTGGAGGTCTGGAGAGGTGGTTATTGTTAGCGAAGCCCGGGGTGAGGAGCGGAATTGCTACTTACGGCGAGGAAGAAATCGCTGATGTCGTGGGTGATAAAGACCCCGAGACCCATGTAGGTAAAGTGGAAACGGTAGCTCAAGAATATCAGAGCCAATGACACTACGTGGTGCCCAACCAGTTCCCTGAAATCCTTCCTGGGCTTCTCCATTCCCAGCACAAGCACAATTGCTTGCTGAGCCCAGTATGCCGCCTGGAAGAGGTAGTAGAACTTGAACAAAGCCTCGTGGGTCTTGTGTGGGAAGAACTCGTACATAGCCCTGGTGTTGAAGTACCAAAGAGGTGTCCGACTCATAACATATAATCCGCAGGGACCGAGAAATCCAAAGTAGATAGCCGTATACATCTGCTCCATGAAGCGGGATTGCTTTGCCCTGCTCTTCAATCCACTGCGCTTGGCCAGAGGTCGTAGGATTCTCTGCATGATGAACTCTCTTGTAAACGAGAGCACAATAACATAGAAGCTGACGAACGCGAGATCCCAGCCTCCCTTCCCATATTGAGTCAGTGTTCCCGGCGGGTCGTTCGGACTTAAAGGAATCTCGTAGGAGAGGAAGATAAAGTGGTGGACAGGATTCGAGCTAGTCGGGTTGATCGCATAGAGGGCGAGGAATACCAGCAACAGCGCCAGCGGTGTAACCCATGTGTGCTTCAACGCATACCTTTTCCACTGTTGGAAGACTGTTTTGGCTTTCCTGCGCTTGGAGAATGGCTTTTTGCGGTCGCGTTCGGTCTGCGCCTGGTTCATGTCAGATCAGATGTGCTGCTGGAGTGGAAGCATCACGCGTGCATACTTTGATTGTTGCGGGAGACGGCGGTCTCACGTCCAATGTTGCTAATGCCGGCGAGCCTGTGTCTCCTGCCCTGATCTCTCCTCCGAGTCCGCTGGAGCGTCTTCGGAGGCGAGGGTTGACTGCGCTGTTCGGTCCTCCCAAGGGTGCCAGTTCGTCGGACAGAGACAAGAGGGTGTCGTTGGTGGTGGTAGTAGCCATAGTCGCCGGTAGGTGTAAATTCGTGCAGTAAAGAAGTCAACTAGGCGCTTGGTGTCATAGAATGAAGTATCCAATGCAGGTAGGGGGGAGAAGGTAAATTAGCGGGTGGATAAAGGCGCATATATGGGCATTGCAATTGAAAAGTGCGTGCCCAGTCAATGTTTGAACACGAAGATGCGACACTGGATGGGCATGGTAGTAGAAGATCCGAATAAGATCCAAAACCTTAAATACTTAAGGGCAGTCCCTGACTGTCGTCAGACCCAAACCTTCCTTCCCGTCCCCCAGCCCCCTGCTTTGATCTTTACAGTATTGTCGTTTGAGTCTCCAACTCCAAGTCCATCATACTCCTGTATAGGGAGTGTATGCAATCCGACAAGTCAAGTTGTCAAGTTGCCAGACTCCTAACTAACGACACGGCTCGTTCTGTTACCTTTATTTGTTGTTTTTATCATTGATCCGATCTAAGCGCGACACGTGACTTTTGGTAAGGACTTCAAGCATGTACCCAGACCTTATGTACCTATAGATTCAGGACATCAAAGGTGTATCAACGCCTCTATGACGTATGTGATCTGGATTAATGAGCAGCTTGCGTTATATTCCAACGTACTCTCTCTTGTCATTTCAACCGAGTCGCTGCGTAAGTAGAGGTTCGTTCTACCAGCCTAAACACTTGACACATTCCACTCAATGCACTCGACAAACGGTTTTGTATCGCAGCTCAGTAGGTTACGAACAAGCTTTACCGTTATGATGTTCTTGTGTTTCTGTTTCGTTAGATCTGTCAGATATTGTTGACTTGGTGTTGCGGGAAAGTGTTTGGTGCGCCGCGCCCGAGCCACCACGTCCGAGGCTTAGGTGGATTTGTGGATTTGAGACAACAGCTCAGGTTTGAGAGAGCTTTATTGTGACCAGGTGATTGGACGTGTGTGTGTATTGTATGGCCGGCAGAGTGCTAGGAAGAAACTCCCTCCTAGAGCTTTGAGCAATCTTGAGTGAGGTAAGTACGGTACCGGTAGATATTCGCAGGAAGGAGGAAGGCCGCTTCGAAAGCTTGGATGTCGGTAAAGGTTAAGCAAGGCCATGGATTGCATAATCTCAAGGGACTACCTACCGTACTCCCGGGCACTGCTATCCAAGAAGGATTCTAATTCTAGAGAATATAAGAATACGGATAAATGGTTGAACACGTCCGTACCAGCCCGAGTGTTGTCGGAGAAAAGTCGGAGAAAAGTCGAAGTCACGGGCAGTCCTGGTTGGAGCTAACCAGCACGTGCTCGACTAGCCTCGGCCACTAGTTGATTGAGCTTCTAGATTCTTCTTTTCACTGTTTATCTTGAGAGCTCAATTCTCTTCCAACCCCGTTATTTCTTTCTTCACACCCAGCATTCGCACTCCGTGGAAGCTTCATCGTCAACCCATAGATGTGAATCTCCTCTTCCATTACAGTCGAGGACATACAGCGTCGCCGATTTTAAACGCTCAGCTCTCACCGTTAGGCCCCACCAAAGGTACCAGAGTTATATTTACGTCCTTCCTCTCCCTCACGACTTTTATGATGATATACAAGCTGGCACCAGTCCTATGAACGATTTTGTACTCAGTTCTTGAGGAAAATGCTACGACTCCGGTCTCCTTCTGAAAAATTCTTAAGCCCCTCGCTGTCTGGCAATCTCAGTCGTTTCTTTGTGCTGACAGGTATCTTGAACAGCATCGACCTTCCACACAATCTCACCATGCTGCACAACCCGAACAATTGGCACTGGGTCAATAAGGATGCCAGTGTCTGGACCAAGGCATACCTGGAGAAGAACATCAAGGGCATCAATGCTGAGGAGAATGGAGTCACAGCTCAATTAGACAAGCTGATCAGCATGGATGGCGACGTTGATGTTAACCAGCGCAAGGGGAAAGTCATCACGATTTTTGACGTCAAGCTTGTCCTCGAGTATTCTGGTAAGTCGAGAATCACTGTTACGGAGGCAATGCTGACCAAAATAGGCAAGACCAAGGATGGTGAAGATGTTAGCGGAACAATCACAGTACCTGAGGTTGCGCATGATACTGAAGAAAATGAGTATGTTGTATGTCTCTTCGTCCCCGTGGGCGCCTTGTCTGGCCAAACTAACTCTTGAATAGTTCGACCTAGATATCTACTCTGATGCCAACTCCAAAGCTCCCGTTAAGGACCTAGTCCGCTCCAAGATTCTCCCACAGTTGCGCAAAGAATTCGCGAAGCTTGGTCCCGCCTTGATTGCTGAGCACGGAAAAGATCTTCAGCATGCCCCGGGTGAAAACCCTACCTTGAGCGGCAGCTCCACTCCCAAGTTGCACGTTCCCTCTGCACCAGCCGCTGCTTCGACCTCTCAGAAGACCAAGGCCAGCACCACGGTCAACACTACCACTGTTACTGATACCGAGGAGTTCCGTGCCCCGGCTACCGAGCTCTACCAAACGTTTACAGACCCCCAACGCATTTCCGCTTTCACTCGTGCAGCACCCAAGTTGTTCGAGGGCGCGAAGCAGGGCGGCAAGTTTGAGTTGTTCGGTGGCAACGTCTCCGGTGAGTACGTCGAACTCGTTGAGCCGACCAAGATCGTCCAAAGTTGGAGACTCGACCAATGGCCAAAGGATCACCACTCACGTCTCGAGATCAACTTTGATCAAAACGATGTGGATAATGTTACTGTTATGAGAGTCACCTGGAGTGGTGTTCCGGTGGGCCAAGAAGAGGTTACAAAGCGTAACTGGAGAGAGTATTACGTGCGAAGCATCAAACAGACCTTCGGGTAAGTTTCAAACCATGTGCTGCTTTTCTGTGATGCCAAACTGATTCACATAGGTTCGGTACGATTCTGTGAAATCGACTTTGCACGGGGGTGATACGAAACGAAATGAGAAGATGTTACGAACGGGAGAACTAAATGACCTTAATGAGGGATTGATTTCAGGGAGCGAGCTGGAGATGTGATCATAGCAATCAATAGAAAGCATCTGCACCCATTGGCAGTTTGCGTTCACTTCAGATTCTATAACACTCGCACCACTATTCTTCTGATGGCATGTCTGGTGAACATACGAGGCTTGCGCTCTCAAAGTCATGTTCGAACATCTGAACTAGTCACCAACGCAGAGACACCTAGCTTTCCAGTGAGTGCCCTCTCAGCTAGCCAAGTGGCCACTTTGCTCTTTATACAACGGATTATATCTGCATCCTTTCTTCCGGAAGCATCGCCGCCTGCTATCTAATTTCCCGACGTTCCTGAGCCGAGGTGTTCAACCCATAGTATTTCAAGTTGCGTCTGTCTTCCATCTCTGACTGGCACTTGTCTACTTGGGATGTAAGCAAGGCCAGTGGATTTTATTTTACTGTTGATATGAGCGGCATCTATCTAACGGGAAACCGCTCGCTCACTCACCTAGCTCACCCAGCCCACACACCCACGAGTCTCGAGGAAGCAGCGAGTGGACGAGGAAAGTCGTGTCAGCCAGCCAGCCAGCCAGCCAGCCAGCCAGCCAGCCAGCAAGTCAGCTAGCCCAACCATAAAACCCAACCATCCGTCCCCCTCCCCCTCCCCGTCTCACCCTCTAGGGTCTCGGAAGAGGTGGCCGCGGGATCGAGTCGAGGTAGGGGTTTTTACCTACTTATCTAGCTAGTGGCGATGGTGGTGGCAATGGCGATATTTATCCAACTGCCCAACAGGTAATGAGGAGATGGTTATCAATGAAGCGTTTGTCTTACTTTCTTTCTTTCTTTCTTTCTTCCTTCCTTCCTTTCTTCCTTCGTTCATCTGAAATAAAGAATGGAGGAAAGTGGGTGAGTGACATGCCAAAGGGCAGATCTGCAAGGTAAAAAAGAGTAGGAGGCGGGAAAATGGATATATTCATCACTCATGACATTCGTAGCGCCCATCCATCATTAACTGGTAACTACGTTAGAACCAGTACACGGATATGTATCTTCTTCTCTCCCTTCCTTCTAACACCGTTTGCCTTGTCTTGATGGAATCCCCCCCCCCCCCGGATCGCTGGACAAGACCAGATCAACATTGGATCCGCAATGCCTCTTGCTTTCCCCCACCCCCACCCCCTTCTTGGCCCCTTCTCTTTGGAATCCACAGATGCTCCTCCATACGTAGGCGTGCTGCGCCGTTCCCAAGAATGCCAGCGAAGGTTTCTATCCAAAGTGTCAAACCGTAAACGTAAACGGCTTGTCGCCCGGCCCCATCTTCGCCCCCCATCTATTAATCTATGCCGCTCATGTCCAGGGCAGTCCCTTGCGGTCCTCCTATGTACCCAGCCCCATTTTGAAGTTCCCGCTATGCTATGCTGTGCCACGCTATGCCATAAATACAACCAACCCAACCATGCTAATTGTCCAAAAGAGCGCCATGCTAATGCAGAACCCGAACTAGACACATAACTAAACAGACCACCCTATCCACTCACTCATCCTCGTCGGGAGACCTGGGCCGCCTCGGCGGAGCAGGGATGCTCGTCACGGGCGGCCCTTCCGGTCTCCTCGGCAAAGATGGTGAGCGCCATAGCGTGGAACTGCTTACCTGGCTAGCACTCATGCTCGGCGGCGTCACGCGCTGAATCTCGGCAGGTGATACGGCGTCATTGGATTGTGTCTGTGACGAAGCTCTTACGAAAGAGATGGCGCTACGTTGGTGGATTGAGCGCCCGTTAGAAGTGTCGGGGCGGTAAGGGTCGCTGGGGCGCTGTTGCGGTTGTCTGGTTTCTAGGTCATCGTCGGGGGTGACGGAAGATGGGAGCCAGGCCGCTTGGCTAGCTGACCGGTCTGGGAGTTGACGTTCTAGTTGCGTAGCTCGACTTAGAGCATGGTCGTGTCGTTCGGTGTTCTCGAGCTCTTCCAGTGCGGCGGCGAGATCACGCCTTCGCGGAGGGGCTGGGATAACGGTCTTAGGAAGCGGACCGACGGCTGAGGTTGTTTTCGACTTGTCCCGGAGTTTCTCGGCTTGTGTCGCAGCGAAGTCCTCGAGTCGGGCTCGGACGTCCCATACGCTTGATGTACCGTCGTGGACATTTGTCTGCTCTGTGGGCTTTGCTGCTGTATGTGCAGAAACCTCCGGTGGGAGTTCTTTCCCTCTCCGTTTGAATGGATTTGCCTTGGCAAAGGACTTCCAAGCAGTGTGTTGTTTTGGTGGCTCAGCTTCTGGCCCTAGACCTTCTTCCATTCGTTCAATCGCAAGATCCTTCTCCTCTATTGCATTGAACTCTTCTTGAGTGCTGCTTGGTTCCCTATTGATCTCTGCACTGTTGTGCCTATAAAGTTCTGTCGGTCTCGCACCATCTCTTACGGACGGCGTTGCTTCGCTAATCGGATGGTATCGAACAGCATAGACCGTACTTTCTGCACTAGCTGTATCTGTTCTGCTGACGGGAGTTGCAGCGGCGGGAGGCCTAGTTGGCCAAAGTGGAGGCCGCGGCCGAGAACGTTTCTCTTTAAGGCGTTGTGTAGTCCGGCCTTTTTCGATGTCGTGTTTAGCGCGGGGCCGGTATCGATTCGCAAGGCCACTGACAGCGGTAGGCCACGATCTACCGCTGGACCCGGTGGTGGCTCCACTGGCTCCATCTCCACTGCCGCCTCTCCGGTGCGTCGGACGATAATTCCAATTCGCTCCTGGAAGATTTGCGTCCAACATCTCATCTCCGTCGAACACTTCTCGCCCCAACACACCATCTTTCTTATCCTCTCTTTCTAATGCTTCGATTCTTTCCACCCATTCCCAGACTACGACACTGGCTGCTGCTGCTCCAACCCAGCGCACATAGTCTCCCCATCCGGCTAAAGTTGGCTTTGATATATCCAAAACGAAAAAGACGATTGGAACTAGTACCGATACTATTGACAATAATGATACCAAGATCATATTCTTCATCTGCGCATGATAAAAGGCGAATTGTTTCTTGGTTATCGAGTAGTACAAGACCCATGCAGCGTACAATAGGCTCAGTGCCAGCTGGAATAGGTATGCAAGTGCGGGGATTGCGTCCACGAAGCTTCGTGGGCGAGAGCTGCCGTTATAAACGAAGTTGTTGAGGATACTGAAAAGGACGTCGAGTGTTATGAGAGCGAAGGCCGTCCACTTGATAATGATTTTCTCCCTCTGTCGTGGGAATAACCTTATCAACGTTTGAGCTTGAGCAAGCCACAGGAATGTGTCGGAGATGACGCGGATAATCTTCAATTCCAGACCATCCTCCACTTGACTCTGGAGAGCCGCAGCGTCCATGTATCCAACATAATATTGTTCTTCGGCTACTCGGAACGTGTCTGCGGTCGCAATCGTAAGGGATACCGCCACGGTCAGAGCCGCGACCTTCTGCAACCACGGTCGGCCACCGATTCCGATTCCCGCTTCGCTATTGCCCGAGGGGCCATTCGTGAACCCCCGTCTCCCTAGTACCACCGCACCTTCGCGCAAGAATGTCCGAGGGGTGATAAATAGCATAATAACGAGCATATAAGCGATCACCGTCGCCGCTGCCAGCGCGTAGCATTCGGGGATCGTCGAGGCGTAGAAAGGATCACGAAAGTCCGTAAAGGTCGGTGAGCCTTTCCCCGTAAGCACTGTGTCGCTGGACGCAGTGCATTCCGGCTGAAAGACGGCATCGGAGGTCAGCGTAATGATGTTGTCGACACCGAGTGTAAGGACGCCGGCCGAGGGTAGCGTGAAAGGGGTACAGTGCGGCGTCGTGCTCGACGTCGTGGCCGTTGTGCGGCTGGGCCTCACAATGTCGAGAATCTGTCGGGCTTCCATTTTCATCTATAACGCGGCCCTGCCGCAGGTGCTGAATAGTCACTTAATGGGTGTTGGTCGACATTGTAGGTGACGGAGATTAAGTTGAGTCGTGATTTTTCGGCGGGCGCAATCAACGGCGGATTCGGCGCGACTCGATAGATTGGGCGGTCATCGAGGAGGGCGATTGTTTGATGGGTCGTGAGTCGCGCTGTGCGATGCTGTGGTGTGCTGTATGTTAGGTCGTATCATGAACAAATGATACGGTATTATGTTACTGGTGGTGGTAATGGTGGTGGTGGTGGTGGTGGTTGTCGGAGACGTTGAAGTGGAGGGGGTGAAGGTTTCATTGAGGTGGTCCTGAAGCGGGTGGCTCGGTTGGCTCTCCCAATAAGCTTTCCGACCGGACTCGGATTCGGACTCAAATTCAGCTCGTATGTGTCGTGTGTGGTGTGGATAATATAAGGGATAGGGGGGATGGTAAGGGACAGATAATAATAGAAGAGATATACGGAGCATCCTTCTTGCTATTTAATTTATATAAGATATATATATATATGTATATATATGTATATATTGTACATTAAAGCACACTTGAGTCGGGCTGGGTCGGGTGCACTCTGAAGCACTATAGTATATATGTACGTAGTATATATAGTATATTCGTATATGTACGTTATGTGGATGTACTGTGTGTTTCCATTACATTATATATCATATATCATAATCAACGATGATGACGAGTCACGATATCATCAATATCAATTTCAATCCCCATACCCAGACCCAGACCCAGACCAATCCCATAGACAACCTCAACCTCATCATATCGATGGCTGGCTTCCATCACGACGGCCGGGCACCCCAATCCAAGGCTGTGAGAAGCCTGCCAAGCTCCCCTCAAGGTGTCAAGACTGGGCGAGGCTTAAAAATGCCACCCCCTCAAAAAACATCGTCGTTGACAAGCAATGGGCAAACGCTTGAGATGCGACAGGAACGTCTGGGCGCTCAACAAAGCATATCATATCGGATTGAACCTACGTATTGCTGGTGGCCGTTGTTGTGACTCGTGAGCCGCTTCGGGGTGTGAGGGGAGTCAAAGGACCTGGAGACTGGCTGCTTCGGGCACGCTGGACGTCTCTTACTCGAGCTCTGTCGATCGGAAACTCAAATGCGAAAATGCCTCAACGGAAGATGGAAGTACTACGTAGGTACTACCGGTACCGGTATTACAACGTATACGAAGCGCTGCGCTGCTTCACGCTCAAAATCATATCCAACGGGCTCGTCTGGACTCGACTGTCCACCGCCAGCCATTTCTCCATTCCCGCTTTCTTGAGCTCGGTTCGCGAGTCAAAATCAGACGAGGAGAGGTTCAAACCCTCAGAGGCTGTTCCGTGCGTGTCAGTTTGACTGAGATACCTAGCGCACAGATATGACGCCAAAAATTTGTCAAAGTAGCAACGTTCAGCCGGCCTGATTGATTTGAAATCGGAAGGTGGACCAATCTTGACGAAAGCTGAACAAATACCAAAAATAATCAGCTGGCATAATAGTGCCATTTCTGACAAATGGAAGAACACGCTCGCGGGAAATATGTAAGCAAACCAAATCCAGCTGCGGTACGGTAGGCGGCGGGCCTTCTCCCTCGTGTGACTCCTGGTCTCTGGTGCGAACGGAGCCACGGATGCATTTTTTTTTCTTCTGCAGACCCGGGGTTCTCCACGCTACTGTCCCAGTGAAGGTGTTTGGAGTATATAGGCACTTTTCAAGTCCCAATGCTCCCGTCTGTACATACTCTCCCTGTTCAGGCTAGCCCGGTTCTATCTGGTTTTGCTGCTAGAGGCCGGTCTCTCATGAGTTTACCGATGTCAAGATGCTGTTTTGCCGATTTGTATCTTTGAGAAATACCTGCTATAAAACATCGTCCTGGAGTTCTCCAAGGATTGGCTCAGAGTTGACCCAAACTCAGGTCTTCCTTTGTATGAACGCAATTTCTCGAGAAGCTCTTTAAGGGTCAACATGCGAAAGCAGGCTCGTGTCATTCCTGAAAAGAGAATCCTAACTCTTTGTCGGATGAAAAGCAGCTTCGGCTGGTCCGGTTGCTGCTGCGGCTGCTGCTGCTGCACTCACAAGGGTACCTGCGCCGGGCTCGATTGCTGCAAGTATCCATAACAGGGATAGAAGGCGATATTCAGATTTGAGGACACCGATGAGCAGCTAATCGATAGTGTGCAAGTTGAGACAGGTCAGGATACCCTTGAGGAGCCGGAGTTGGTGGGTAAGGTTAACCGTGTTAAAAGATTTGCATAATGACGTGAAACTGCGTAGAATGATCTGCGCTGCGGAAGTAACAGACGGAAAGAGTTGAAAGACAACCTGTAATTGTGCTCCAAAAAGGGATTTCTATGCTCAGAGACCAAGTTTGGGATAACCAAGTGAGTCGGGTAATCCAAATTCATCCAGTAGATCAGGGTTCGATGGCGTCTCTTGTAGAAGGCACTGATTCCAAATGCAGCGGATCCTTGACAGGTTTAGGCTTATGCCATCCCAACCTTCATTTGCATCGAATGTTAAACATCGCAGGACCTCAATAGTTGGGTTCCCTTTGGTGGACATAGATGTAGTTGATAATCGCAGCAAAGCGCCAAAAGTTTCTAGAGAAGAGTGGGTTGGAGAACAGCAGTGCTGTAACAAAGCATGCTACTACCTATAGCACAGAGTCTGGCATAGAGAAGTAAAGACAAGTATAAAGAAGGGATATCAATAACCTTGAAGGGTATCAAGCCGTGTGACGCATTTGATACTCGTCCAGACATTGCTGAGCAGTCTAAATCCGCATATTCAGACCAAACTTCTGAGAAGGCAAGAACACAAAGAGCGAAGGATGTGTTCTTTAGGACGTGCCCTAAAAGAGAGAATCTTGAGATGCTGCGACTAGATATTCACGTCTGAGTTCGTCAATACTTATACGCGCCCTTATGCAGGAGGCTGAATCATACGTCAACAAACATACAAGGGCTCTCTGTCCTTTGCAGATCTCTGAGATGAAAATGCCAGAATAGCGCGCGAGACGTGGCTATTGAAACAACTATACCTATATGTTTCCTGGACCCTAGAACGGATAGATGAAATAATGCAGAAGTATATGTGCAGGTTGATGTAGTTTACAGAGTTGAGGATCACTCTGCTTTTGTCTATGAATTTTAAGGAGCTTCACGTGCTCTAAAAGGGGCTTAGTGCCTTGCCCCCATATCGGGAACAATCCAGCTTCATGGCACAGCAATCCACTCACTCCATCCTATCTATTCCATTCAACCCCGACACTCCTTCTCTTGTGTTTCGCAAAAGATCAAATACGGGACGACGCAGTGCGGTACGATACGATACGATACGACACGATACGACACGATACGATACGATACGTACGGTACACTACATTCGACGTCGCTACGCAGGCCATAGTCGACACTGTTACTTTTCCGCAACGGATCTTGTAGCTCGGAGGCATACCATAACTCACAGTCCAGTCCAGTCCCTTTTTGCGACATATGGCTGCTGCCACTCCTTGTGTCATCGATTGCATTCTCTACCCGATCCGATTTCAGGAACTGCCGTGTACAACTTCTGCAGGTTCCCATCCATGAGATAGATAACTTGCTGCGGCTTCGTGCGGATTCGTGCATCAACCCAAAGTTGCGCGATCACCTCATTACCACTCTTCGCGAGATCTCTTTTCAACTTCCAGAAACCCATGCTCAGGAGGCATCATGACGCGCCCGCAGATTATCCGAGCCGGTAGGAATCTCCACAGGAGTTTAAATGCAGAAGCTATCTGCTAATTGCCAATCCTGACAGACTCGATTGATCTCCAGGACCAAAATTCCCCGTCGGCACAGGACCACACCCGGCAACCTACAAGCCCAGGCGCTCTAGGCGTAGGACCCCCAGCGCCACATCAGGCAGAGGCTTTGCGAGAAGTAGCGGTAGAGGCCGCGGAAGAGAATCACAGAAGTCCAAGAGTGTCGAAGGAGTGGTCAAAGGGGGATGTCCATCAAGCACAGCAATACGGCGACGAGCTGGCAGCGAGGGTGACGTCAAACTTGACCGGCACCAATCTCCAACAACAAGACGATCTGGCCATTGCGCAGAATGGAGGTTCAACAAGCGAAGATGCCGACATGGCAGACGCGGAGGGCGATGATCTGATGGATGATGATATGATGGACAAGATCTCCAGCTCTCCCTCAATCGATGATGGTGGGTATTCCCTTCCGCACTTGTGGCCCCAGCGAGGCGATTCTCTTTCGCAGAATAATCCGATCGGTTCTCCCTCGTTTCCACAAGCGTGCTACGAGAGTTCATCCCCTTTCGTGGAGACACCGGATCATTTCCCTCTAAGACCTCAGCCTGATCCCATCGACAAGGACGATGGTCAAAGTAGCCAGGCTAAGCGGCATCGTTTTCGTCATTTTCTTGGTGAGTATCTGGACGGCACCGGCAGCGAATCCAACTACGAGGACCAAACAGCCGAGACTTCCCCCCTTCATACAGGTCCTGGATACCGGCCCGTCGAAAGTTACGATAACGATTTTGACCTCGATTACTATAGCGATCAACTAATAGCAGACGATCTCGCCCTACTCAGCGAGGACTTAGAGCCTGGTGTGGGAGACTCAACAGAACTCCCTGGCGAGCGACCCATCGAGCAAGAAAATCCCACAGGCGACGAAATAGGAATAACCATACCCTACGAAAGTTCCGAGGATGAAGATGACGATTACGAAATTCCTTATTCTGCTGACTCTAGATTTGTTGATTCGGGTTGGGGTGGTGAAAGCTTACAAGAACTAGAGGACATCGATTTCGAATTCGTCTATGCGTTACACACGTTTGTCGCAACTGTTGAAGGCCAAGCGAATGCTACTAAGGGTGACACTATGGTGCTGCTTGATGACAGTAATAGCTACTGGTGGCTTGTCAGAGTTGTCAAGGACAGTAGTATTGGTGAGTTCATCTGACGCGATGTCGAATTCCCAGGCCAATGAGATGCGTAGGATATTTGCCAGCAGAACATATCGAAACGCCGACAGAACGACTAGCTCGTTTGAACAAACACAGGAATATTGACGTACGTTCTTTTCTATCTGTAATTAATTCTTGGGCTAATACAAGCAAAGCTCACTTCAGCAATGCTGGGAGATCAAGAAGTGAAACCGAAAAATCCACTCAAGAAGGCTATACGCAGACGGAATGCTAGGACTGTCACGTTTGCAGCCCCAACATATGTGGAAGCTTCGGATGTCGATTATTCAACAGACGAGGAAGACGGAGAAGGTGATTACTATGGCCAGAACGGGCAGCAAGATCAAAATGTGGAGCATCAGGACCAAGAAATTGTGGAGGAGGAGATCAAAATCGCCGAGCCATTGGACGCACGACCCGACATCCGAGAAGTTGGGTCAGAATCGGCAGAGCCAGATGTCGATAAAGACTCCGCAAGCAAGCCCAGCTCTGACATCACTCGATCTAGTGATGAGTTCTTCGATGGGAAGATAGAGAGTAAATCTCGAAATGGTACCCTGAGGAATACGGACTCCTTCTTCAAGGACGATTCTGTGGAGACGAGGAAGATCACACTCACTCCCAATCTACTCAGAGATGATTCGAGCTCGTCTACGAGGACGTCCAACGAATCCAAGGAACAGAAGCAACGTGCGAGTCTAGATAAGCTTGAGAAAGATTCCCCAGAGAAGTCCAAAGACAGGAAAGATAAGAAAGATAAGAAGGAGAAGGAGAAGAAACCAGGCATGCTCAGTGGCCTTTTCAAACGGAAAGAGAAGAAATCGAAAATCTCGTCAATTGACGAGGAAATTGAAGAGCTTTCTGAGAAGAGGTGGAACGATAACCAAAGGGCGTCCCCTTCGCCCAGCAAAGAACTCGAGGAAAACCCACCTACTGAGGCTGCGGTAGTTTCTCAGACTCTTGAACGTAAGGCGAGTAAACAGCAGCAACCGTCCCGAACAGAATCGTCACCCATCCAAAAGGGGGCACAGTCTAGACAGCCCATAGTTGCGGAACCAGTCCAAGCGCCTGCCCCTGAAAGGGCACCACCAGCTGAATCGGCTCCAGCGCCCTCGATGCGTATTGTCAAATCAGAGCCATCGAGCGAGGATCTTTCGCAGCAACGAATTGTCTCCCCTGTACTTACTAAAGCACAGCAACCCCAGGGTGCTTCTCCCGAAGCTACCCTCAGTCGGAATACTTCTGAGGCTGGCATGGGCCAGGCTATACCCGCATCACAGAAAGAACAGAAGGCGGGTGGCAAGATCTCCAAGATACTTCGCTCGGCCAATCCCAGCACTTCTGAGCCACGCCCTGTCAAGGCAAAGAAAGCCAAATCTCGCGTGGAGCTGGATGACTTCGATTCGTCCAGTGAGGATTCTTTGGTGGAAGAGCCTGCTGGTGAGCCAAGTAAACAGAGTCAACGTCCGGTTCCTGGAAGCTTTCCAGACAGCTCTATTTCGACAACTGCCACGGAACGATCTACTTTTGCGGATGAGAGACTTTCCGAGTCTCCGGTGCAAGCGTCTCCCGGTATATCCTCGGGATCATACCCACCGGCTCTCATGGTCGATTCATCAAGTCAAGAAGATCAACCTTCACCTGTATCATCGCCTTCACCAGAATTGATAGATGCAGACGATGTACGAGAGAAGAAAGGTACGGGGAGCTCTACAACCTCCACGTCAACCGCAACATGGAGCGATGCACATCTGCGAACATTCTTTGATGATGATGCGGACATCAAAGACCTGCTGGTGGTGGTATATGACAAGTCAGGGGTAGTCCCTGCCGGGCCCGACCATCCAATTATGGGAAGTCTCTTCAAGGAGGAGAATGCGAAGCTGGCGGACATAACCAATGTAAGTCGTTCATTATCTCTGGTGAGGGAGTGACATGCGCTAATGAAGCTCAGCGCCTGGATGGAATGCTTGGAGACTGGCTGGCTCGCAAAATGCGAACGCAAAGCTCGAGGTAACAGCACTCTTCTTTCTACTTGTACTATATAAACGATGCACACGAACATGATAAATGAGGATTCCTGAAGGCGAAGCGTCTGATTTCTCCGTCTCGTACCGGCTGGCGGGCGGCAGTGGGCAACCGGAAAAGGGGGGCTGGGGCCAAGTCCCGACGGCGTGGGCAACATGGGGATCAGTCTATACCATATTGGATGATGTGTTCTTCAAAGCTGTATCAGTATTTCCAGACACAGTTTCCCGTACTTCTCGACGTCCTCAAGCATGGGATGTTGCTTCTATTGTTGCATTCTGTCTCACGTTGATCCCAATCAATCCCTGGTTCGTGACATGGTCATAGTGGTTCCAGTCAACGACTGCACGCACTTCTTTCCAGTCCAGTCCAGTCAGTAAGTATACTTTTGGATAGCGTAACAAGCAAAAGGAGATGAAGCGGTACTCACTTCAACGATGCAATGCAAACTCCCCTTAATTGTACAAACACGATCATATAATATAATAATAAGGTCATATAAAAGTCACGGTCAGTGCTGCAAGTTCTCTTGAGAATATTGGCATTCGACTAGACTAGGTCGGGCTTAGCGTGGGACCCGTCCTCCCGCATCCCGTTAGACCCGGCCCGGACTCCAGATCCACCTGCAATCTAAGCCTAAGGACCGAATTGGAGACTATCGCTCTGGAACTATCCTCAACTCACTCTGGCAGCAACCTCACTCACTCATCTACCACCATTCCATCTCCATCTCCCATCTCCATCCAGCCAGCCAGCCAGCAGATGTCTCAACATAGCATGGCCTATGCATCCGGCACCGCCATGTATCCCGAGAGCGACGCTGACGACGAGTACGAGAGGAGTGTGCACGACTCATCCCCTCCTCTGGCAACAGACTCCGAGGCGACAGACTCGAATCCCTCGTCGAACGAGCACACGCCGACGACGTATGGTGCCCCGGGCTCCGGGGACAGGCTGCCAGAGACCATCATCACCGAGTGGACTGCGGATGAATGCGCGGACTTTGTCGGGAGCTTGGGATTGCAGCAATACGTGGATCAGTTCTTAGGTATGGCTCCCTACTCTTGGTCTGGAATTGGGATGTGCACTTACCCGATGTAGAAAATGAGATCGTGGGGGAGGCTTTGGTGGCGCTACAGCATGAGGATCTGAAGCAGATGGGTGTTACGAGTGTTGGACATCGACTCACGATCTTGAAAAACGTTTACGATATCAAGACCAAGCAGGATATACCCCTAGAGAGCGATCACTATGTGCCCTTGTGTGAGTACGCACCTGTGTTATCCTAATCACGGTTGCTGATTCCCATCAGCGGCAGATGCAGAGGCACAATACGCAACGGCAACTCTGAAAGATATTAAGCATCTGGTGGAACAACTACGATTACGGGATGAGAGAATGAGTATTGCAGAGATGGAACTACGCAGGATAACGTCCGAATATGCTCGATTGCGAGAGGAGCTTCTGCCCGTATTTCGTATGGCGAAAGAAGGACAGCCACTGCCTTACCCTTCGGATTCCAACAACCAAGCCTCATACCCTTACGATATTCCAAATACAATATCGCCGCCTGCACCCACGCCTCCATCGGCCCATTCTGTGAGCGGTCTTTCACGAAAATTTTCCACAAAGCCGCTCTATTTCGACAACCAGAAAAATTCCTCTCCGACATATTTCCAAGCTACCCAGGAAAGACCTTTGATGGAGCAAACTCTTGATCCTGCAAGTGCAGCTGAGAGGGCAGTAATTTCATCCTCACATCTGGCCGCCATGAATGGGGGCTCACAACCATCAACATCACCCGGCTACCCTTCACCTCTTAGCCAACCCTCACCAACTTCACCCCCGATAGTCGGCGGCTCCACTCTCGCCTCCCGATCCTACCGCTCCGGCTCCGACCAACCTACACCCGCCCGAAGCACTTTCGGACAAGACAACGACCAATACCAAGCCTCGACCTACTCGCGAGATTCTCAAAAACCCGCGCCCTCACGGCGAGCCCCAACCCCTGCCTCCGACACGCCCTCCTCCAACGGCTCCGTGGAGATCTTCAAGTCCTTCCGCGTCAGTATGGAAGACCCGTGCTACAAAGTCCTGCCCGCTGCTTTGAAGAAATACAACATCAACGCTCCGTGGGAACAATACGCCTTATACATCGTCTATGGTGATAAAGAACGTTGCTTGGGGATGGAGGAGAAGCCGCTGATTCTGTTCAAGCAGCTTGATAAGGAGGGAAAGAAGCCAATGTTTATGCTGAGGAAGATCACCCCTAATGGGGATGTGCAGGTCGAGGGGCCGGGAAGCGCTGGACTAGATAGAAATATGGGGAGGGGCATGCAGGCCGTGTATGATCCGCCCGGGGGAATCATATGAGTGTTTTTACGTGGGAGAAGCCTAAGATTTGAAACGATACTTTGGAGGGGGCTAAGATGGTCTTCTGGATTAGATCAGAAGACGCTGTGCTACTGTACGCAGCTGGTATGTCTTGCATAGCGGGCGGCGAGCGAAAGCGAATTGCGAACTTGGAAGGGGCGTGCATCTTGTTGCGACGGTGCTGTCGTTTTTGCAATATACCTGCAGGAAAGGGCTGGGATCTGTGTGTGATGTCGGGGTTAATGGGGGCTAGCTAGGGGATAAAACGACCTGCAGGCATTTTTGCATTAGGTGTCTGTCGAAAAAGAATGAGGCCTTAATGAAAGTATAAAGATCACTCCATCTGTATCTTTCGATGTATCTCCCTGCCGTTTCTTTTTCCTTTCTCGTTCCTGATCCTCACATGTACGTTTGTCGCAGATGATATGAGCCGAGTTCTTGGAGATGTTAATATATTGTATCATACATCATATACACGTAGGTAGTATATGCATACGGCTTGTTATTGCAACTTTACTCGCAACTCTCTTTCACTTCGCTGCCTGTACTACCGGTACCGGTACTACCTATCTGTTTGACCTTCATCCGAAGACTTCGTCTTGGATCTTTGTCTCACTAAGTATCTAGGCAGGTACCTAGAGAAGGTTTTTTTTTTTTTTTCCCCTTGAGTCAGGACATTTGTGTATATATTTTTGATTTTTTTTCTTCGACGATCCCGTGGCTGATTCTAACCTTTTCAGCTCGCGGGCTTGAATCCTCCTCTCCACTGAGAGAGAGTACCGGTATGTGTACCGGTAGGTAGGTAGGTATGTGGGTGAGTGAGAGGGGGACCAGTGCAAGAGGTGAGTGAATACTACCGTACTACACCACACTACACTACACTGCTCCTTCCTTAATTAAGGAAGTTGCATCGTGGGACTGCGACTACGACTCGGGAGGAGTTTTTGGTATGTACATCTGTCTATCTATTTATTATCTTGCCACCTACTTGGTTTGTGATGTGGTGTAATACCATATAATACGCTACAATACAATACAATACAATACGGGATAGTATGGTTTAGTATACCGGTAGTATACGGTAGTATGCGATTATCAATCGATGCGCGATGCGAGAAGAGCTGGCTCTGAAACGGGACGGGTAAATTGCAAGATATGCAAGATGGAGGGGGAGGGGGAGGGGGAGGGGGGTTAGGGTTGGTTTGTTTCATGCTGATTGCGTGCAGTAATGCCAAAGGCGTTTCTTCTTCTTCTACCTCCTCTTCTTCTTCGGGATTTTAACATCTGGATACAGAGAAAAAAAGCGAGAGAGAGAGAGAGAGAGAGTCCCCAAGTAAGAGCAGAGAACGTCGTCCAATTACGAACGCATAACTGGGTACACATAATATCATATGTAAACATCATAGCCGGACGCGCGGGTGCACCACGCATGCAAGCTCTGAACATCAAACAATACGAATACTACAAAGAGGCGAAGAATTGCCGGCGGGGTTTTGATGATGATGTTTCCCATCTATCTAGCTTTGCGTGTTTGGCGGATACTACGAGCTTGGGATTTGATATTTGTATGTGTGTGTGTGTGTGTGTGTGTGTGTGTGTGTGTATGTGTGCGTGTTCTAAACTCCTGTAGCTATTTCCTGTTATACAGCCCGGGCATACCATAGCCATACAATGTTGGATGGTATGAAATCTTTGTCATGGATTCGCGCTTTTGAGATTATACCCATTTCAGTAACGGGTATGACGACGGGCTACCCTCGAGTTCAGACAGACGGGGATCAGGAAACGATATCCTCGCTGTACATATACTCCTTTTCTCCATGAGGGGAAAACGGCGATCGTGAAGTTTGCCAGCATGCCGTGTCCTGTGATATTGTATCTCATGCATGGCATCTGCCCGAAATCACTCATATTTGAGTTGACTCGTGCTGCATCTTCTTTTCGGTTCTCTTTCTTTTTCTCTTTTCTCCGCTTGTTTTCTTCTTGGGAATTCTTATACTGGTCTAGTCGAAAGCCGCTCTTGTCTTATTCTCTCTTTTCTGACATCTGCTTCTCCAGCAATAAGGTTCCTTCTTGCTCCTGACATGTTCTTTGTCTGGTCCGCGTTGAGTTTCTCGACGGCCAGACCCTGCAATTCGAAGGCTCTATTGTCGTTGAGATAGCCTTTCCCCCACCAACCCACCCCCCCCGGAGTTTCACAACCCTTTTTTGACAACCCTTTTCCACAATCCTTTCTCCGTATTAGCAATATTCTTTGTGCGACTTCGGCTCATCACATAGAAAAATGAGGAAGCACATCACGTGTGGGTACACATCAGAGCTCTAAGGGGAAAGAGCGAGACGAAGAGCGTGACCATCCGCTCCGTGAGGTAGGTAAGTGCATCCAAGACCTGTTTCGCACGTGAGTAAAAACTCGAGAAATTCGAGGCTGGTCAACCCTCAAGATATGATGCTCTCTTTCACATCACCAATCTCATTTCATCTGCCCGCTTAAAGATCATCGAGAGCTCTCCCCAGGGTGCCGATTGCGAGGGGCAGGAGGTTGAGCTTATTATCGCCAAGGACCTAAATTCAGGAGGAATGTTAGCATGAAATATTCATAGATAGATACAACTCATTGTAGTGTGTTGTAATTTTTTTTCGTATTGTACAGTTCGCAATCCTGGAGGGGAGTGGGTGACGCTAGCTACCTATGTCAGGACTCAAAGCCACCAATTTCATACTATGGACGACATTGTAGACGACGCTGCGAAGAAACCCACCCAAGCATCGTAAAGTCCACGCAGGAGTGTACAATTTGCGTGAAGAGGATTTGTTGATTTCGGAGAAGCTGAATAGAAGAGGAAGATGTGGATGATTTGTCGTGGAGCCGACAGAGGTAATGAATGGTAAAGGTAGGTCGTCGGATTAAGGATATATACACAGAGAGAGAGGTGTATCAGTAGCGAATTGTCGGACTGAGGCAGTAGCAACACGGTGGGATCTTAGCGCCGCGTGTAGCACGTGGCACTGTCTTATGGGCCACGTGAAATCCTAATCATCAAAACCTACCACGAAAGGCACAGAACGCTCCAGGTCACGGGGGTAGCACACGTATTATGAATATATCCCCATAAGCAGCAAGGTGAGGGTGAGATGGGTAAGATGAACCACTACCCCCATGAATGGGATAAATGGGATGGGCTCAACATATCTACCTACTTACTCACCTACCGATCTATCTATCCATCATACTTATCTAGTAGCACGACGGGAAGGCCATACTACTCTTTGCAATCTCCGATCCTCGAGACAACGACGGCCACCTGCTTCTTTTGTTTGGGTGATCCGCGTTCTGCTGCAGCTCGCTTGCTTACTTAAGCGGAACGAATTCGACTTCCCCCCCACTCTGAGTTGAGATAAGATGAGGCACGTACTTGTACAACATCTAGAAAAGGTGTGGTGCTTTATGTATGTATATATGTATAAATACATATTTCTTGGAGAAGGTAGCAGCAGCTCAAGAACAAAAAGCCTCTCAAACACACATACACAACATCAAAAATGTCGTCAAGACCACCAAAGCCAACAGTCCACATCGCATGCAACAGGTGCCGCAGCCAAAAGCTTCGTTGTCTCCGGATCGAGTCGCACCCGACCTTCTCCTGCATCCGCTGTGTGCGCTGCAACGCCGAGTGCCTCACCCGGCCCTCCAAGCGATCAGGCCGTCCCAAGAAGTCAGCCAGCACCGCTCCACGCCTCCTGGCTGATCCGAGCGAGGTGATGCCGCCGACCGCCGTCGAGGGCTGCTGGTACGATTTCGACCTGCTCGCTGTTGATACGCGCGAGCTGTCCTCGTCGTCGTCGTCGTCCGGCTGGCCGCCCGTCGATGCTGACGAAGCCTATCTTCACGAGACGTCTATGTTCGGGGGAGGGAGCGAGGCGTGTACCATCATGTACTCCTCCCCAGACGAGGTTGCGAGTCCTCCCGGACGGGGCGGCTCCATGGACAGCAGCGCTCCGTGCAACCCGGTTCCGGAACCGTCGCCCGAGCGGGCGCACTCCCTTGTTGACTACGAGTCTCGCGTGTTTGCCTTGCAGCGCGACCTCTCGAGTCTCTTGGCTATGCTAGAGTCGGCGCCGTGGGTCATGGCCGAAGATCTGCGGCTGACGTGCGCCCACGACTCCCGGCATGGTCTGTCGGATGTGTGTCAGATCGGCTTCAGGTCGAATCCTTTGGCGGTCATTACGCAGAAGTCAGGGTATGTGGAGACTCCCGATATCTCCCTCCCACTCATTCTCTCTGCCGAGGCATTCTGTCGCGTACAAACCGAATTCCACGGAATCTTCTTAGAATAACAAGGCAGCTGATGATATCTAAGCGAATTTGCTCAACTTCTGCGTTCGTTCCAGTACCCGGCAGCAAGTCATCATAGGAGTCCAGCAGCCAGTCCGGACTCGCCGCCATCGGCAAATCCTCGCCGGGCAGTCCCTGATCTCCTAGGTATCCTGGCCTGCCACCTGCTCGTCGTCTCCATCTATGACTGCGTTATCCACCATTTCTTGACTCAACATCACGCCGACACCCTGGCTTCCAGTCCCCAGCTTCGGCTAGGTGGCATCGCCATCCCGTTCGAGCCCAATCTACTGGGAAACAGCCTGTTCCGCGTGGTGGAGGGCCAGCTTCGACCGATCGAGGTTCTGCTGGGTCTCCCAGATGAGTTTTGTGTCGCTGGAAATTCGGGATCGTGCGGTGAAGAGATGGGTTGCGGGGTGTTTAGTAGCCCGGGAAACGAGGCGCTTTTCATGGCGCTCATGCAAGTCGAAGCGGAGACCGGGGCCATGGGGGTCATAGAGTCGCTGAAAAATAACATGCGTGTCCAGACTTTCAATTGATCGAGTGCGGGTTTCTTCAACTACAATAGAGGTAGAACATAGAATATCAGACTGCCATTTAGAACGGGCGCGACGAAATATCTTACATCGTGATGAGAAATTCGGGATCCAGGGATGCTGGCTAGTAGTAGAATTCGTTGTACAGGCTATAGTGTCGTTGAATGAGGTAAAGAACAGTCGCCGCTCGTACTTCTCATCGCCGCTCGCTCTATCTATCTACACATCATCACCATCTGCTGTGCCGTTTACTGGCACGTGCCACCAACTTCCATCTGCCGATATGTGAGCATAAAAATCCCAAGCCGCGCAAAATTCAGTTCAACGCTGGGTCTCGTCGCCAGGATATTGCATGAGGCCCGCGTCACTGCACCACTCGGGCAGGCACGTCCCGGGCCTCATACAGCCATCCAGCACCTCAAAGGCGGACGCCCGCTTTTACGGTCACGTGCGGGCAGGCGCCCTATGCCATGTTCAAAACTCTCGTTTCCTCCGAGAATTAGAGCTGAAAGGGTAGAATAACCGTACCTATTGTACCAAAAGGTGTAAAACTCTTGTTTTGCATCATGAAATCAATCACAGGCTGCATGGGAAGCGCAAAGACTTCCTCTGGCACGTTTGATTGTCGAAGATCGTGATCAATATGCTCTGGAGAAAGGCCAACTCCTTGGTCGTGTCGGGAATCGCCATCTTGTTGTGCCTCCGTAGACGTCCCTTCGGTCGCTTCATTTGGTGGTTGTGCTGAGCGTTGGTCTGTTGCGAAACTCAATATCGGCTACTCATAACGCAAGGAAATAGCTTACCAGTCGACAGCTTCTGAAAGATGTTACACAGCCCGTCTAACACTGGCTCTACAGGATGGTCTTGTTCCACAAGGCGTCCTAGTGTTCCACAGCAAAGCGCCCATGCCGAGTGTATCTCGTCAATGTCGAATCGCAGATATCCAAGAGGCTTGAGGCATGCTTCGGTGAGCAATACAACCGTTCCGGCAGTACATAGATCTAGGGAGGATGTGAGCAATCCAAGTTAAAAAAATGGAAAGAATCCCGCAGGGAGGAACGCACAGAATGTCGTAGACCACCAAGAGCCAGAAGCTGCTTGGGTAGTGGCATTGGAAAGTAGATTGATGAGATCGATTGCTGCACTCAAGCAGGACGTGGCAGACTGGGAATCTAACTGAGAGCGAAGGCTATGGGATTTCGTAATGCGATCACCGTTTTGGTTATCGGCCGTATCGGCCGAGTGTTGAGGCCATATCTTTCTACAAACCCGTAGAAATGTTGGGCGGTGTAGCAAGACTTGGGTATGAAGGAATCTGAAAGAAAATAGTCAGCATCTACGAGTGATGGGTATTCATTCCACTGACTGCGCATGAAGAACATTTGTCTGCATCTCGATCATCGGTTGCCACTGGCGCGGAATCGAAGCCCTGGTGTCGTTGCCTGTCTTCCAGTGCAGGAGAATGGGAATAGTGTCTTCGAAATTTGAGAGCTCGTCGTCTAGAGAAATGATCGAATCCGAGTCAGGGGTCTGAGCCTCACTGCTCTTACTGCCTTTCTCGTTGTCATTGCTGGCACCTGGCGATGACCATAGCCCGTAGAGCGTCGACAGTGACTTCCCAAGAATGAAGTACAACTTGATTGTCTCATTATAGAAAGTAAATTGCGACAAGGGTTGATTCAACCTTAATGCTTCATCTTCGGTGGCTGAAGGTAGAGGGATAGTAATTTGACAGGGTGTCATCATTGGACGTCCAAGTGTCATACTTGCTTCTCTGTTGACTCATTAGCCACTCTCAAGCGATAATAACATGGGGAACCTACATATCCATCATGGTACAGCCGTACCATACCCGACGACGAAGTTCAACTTCTTTGGCGTCTGTCCGCGAACCACGGTCTTCGGCATGCAGTCCCAATCCCTGGGCAATGCGGCAAGCTAAACCCAGCGAGGTCCAGCATTGACTGGGAGACGGTGTGCTCTGAAGGAATTGAGCAATGATCAGCAGGGTCTGTACAAGTCCGATACTGCCTTCGTCCAATATATCAACCTGTAACAAACTTTTCGAGCGAAGAAAGAAGGTCTGTGATGAGGAGTCTCGCTCTTGGTGTGATATAGCAGTGTCAGATAGCTGGCAACCAAGCGCAAAAATCGCGTTCAGAGCACAGTGAAAGACGACGGTGCGAGAATCCGAAAGTCCTGGCGTTCCTAGACCAAGATCGCTTGTCTGGAAGTCTTCTTGAGTCTGACGAGAGGGGAGCCATAAGTCCTGGTACGCTTCCATGAAATTGTCTTTGTCAATAAACGGATAGAGAGTGTGCGATCGAAGCCAGTATGCTTCTAGTAGAGCGTCTGCTACATCTCGTTGGGGAAGCGAGAAATTCTCAGATAAAAGTGATGGTGTTCCCAGTGACTTCTCTCGAGAGGGGACTGGATTTGACGTGGGTTGAAAACTACTTGTCCGTCTCCTGCTAGTGGTCCGAAAACTTTTTTTGTCTTGTCGCATAAGATTGGTAGCTGTAGAGCTGCCATAAATTTGGCTGGCCACATTGGATGGTGAAGCGCCTCGGTTATCGATGAAGGCTCTCGAGCCCACCGCGTCGGCTGGGGTTTTTTCACCCTCAGTAGCCCTGAGAGTAGGTCTATTGACAGACATCCAGGCATTGGAAGATGTGGGCGAGGATGGAAGTCCATGGCGTTTTCCAGAGTGAGTCTCTGACCCCCGTTTATCACGCCCTAGCTGTGCTGAGGGTCCTTGCTTCGAGGAAGCGATCTCGCGTTCTAGACTGTGAATGCGATCGATCAAACTCTGGGTATTGAGACGGCTTTTCATGAGTTTCAGTAATGATGGCGAAGTCTTCATAATCTGTCTGGGCGGTCACTCACGGTCTGACAACTGCTGGCCCAGGTCCATCTCTTGAGTAAGCGCACAATATCTCAGTTCCGTATCGCTCCGACCTTTGGAAACAGGGCCCACAGGCACTAATGGTACGGATTTCGAAGTAAGCATGTCTTCTCATGTAAATGGAGAAATAGTTTTTTGTTTTTTTTCTTTTTCATTTTCATTTTCTTTTTTTTTTCTTTTCTTTTCTTTTCTTTTCCCTTTTTTTTTTTCTTCAAAATTGGACAGGCATGTTTTGGGTGGTGGTGCATGGGCCAAAGCTTCTTTGCTTCCTGCGCCTGCGTCGGTCGACAGGCGCCCCGGGAGACAATACAAGGAGGCAGGAAAATCAAAGTGAAAATCAAAGTGAAAATCAAAATGGAGGTTAAAGTGAATAGAAGGTTACTTACGGCCTGCCGCCATCGCATTTGGATTTCTTGGCATGGCAAACGTCGCATGCGCTCAAGACCTTTTGGCGTTTTGCTGGGCGCGGTGTATCAGCGGTGTTGACGGCGGTGTTATCGTCGTCGTCGTCTCCCGGCCGCGTCACCGTCGCAATCGGAGAGACCGCTGCCGCTGAATCGACGACGGACTGCTGATCGGCATTGGAATTCGGATCCATGAGTTCGGGGTGTGTGGTACCGATGTTACTTTGGCGACGTTACTTTGGGGGGTTTGGGGGTTTGGGGAGGGGATGAAAGTTGTCGGAAGTGGTTGTAAGAAGGGAAGAAAAGAGAAGGGGAAGGGAGAGGGAGAGGGAGAGGGCGGGAAGAGAGAAGAGACGGGGCGGTCGGCTTCCGAGATGTTGAGGCGCGCCACGGAACGAAACGCCGACAAGTCCGACCCGCTGGTTCCACCACCGAGGCTATTGGATCCCCGCGGCATGACCTCTTCTGCCCTATATCCGACTATCCGACGTCTGACATGTGTGTATATATATGTGTGTATGTATGTATATTTTATATATTCATATATACATACATACATACACACACACACACACACATACATACATACACCATCATACATCCCGCATCATCTGGAGATTCCAGAGGATGCGCAACTGACTGGCAAGTCCGAGAGGTCGGAAGCGAGAAACTCGCTAGTAGATAAATGAGACCGCGATAGCGACAAGTCCGATCATACCCCATATACCTATATTAATATACGGATGGATCACCCGAATCAAGGCGAGCAGTATCAATCATACCGAGTCAGGTCCCGTCCCATGACCTATATTACTTACTCACTTCTCCATCGTATTTGCAGCAAGATCCCCTGACCGAGCGGAAAGGCCTCCGCTGCCCCCGATTTCTCCGCTTCGACTGCCGGAAGAACCCACCACGAACGACAGGTGACTTGTATATAGTTGACGGGATGAATCAGCTGCAGGCGAGACCTTCTTTCGTTTCCATTTGTCTCTTCTCCTGAATATTCTCAATCGCGACACGGCTTCCTCGCTCCCTCGCTTCCTTGTCAGGGTATTGATCACGGTGAAGATCTGGGAGGGTGTGTATTTACCCACGATGCCGCTCACCAGAACGGATTTTGTGGCGTCGGGAGACCCGAGGACAGTGGATGAGAGGATCGTTGTTGGTATTGTATGAGGCGACGAGTAGGCGTCCGTCGTGGTGAGAGGTTCAGTAATATATCCGGCGGCACAAGATGTCGCGTCTCTCTTCTGCCCTTGCATCCCGTGGCGTATCCGATCCCAATCGATAGAGCCGGCTTCCTCATGATTGTACCCAAGAAAGGACCGGCCGTCGTCCTATGGTAGGATACGTACTTGATTGTTTCGACACTCTTTTGCAAAAAAAAAAGTTGAATTGCATTCTGGGGTATTATAGGGTGATACTAGGTCGATTCAAGAGAAGATTACAGCTGCGCAAGGGTTTGGCGCTTGGAAGATCGATTTGATAGACTGTATATAAGCCCTCAGCTTTGCACGTCTCCGTACCCCTTAGGAGGTCCTAGGACGAGGAGCGCATGCTACGCTGCATAGTCCGCCAGACGTTAATAAATACAACAACAACAAGAACAACGAAAGCTGCAGATGAGCTGGGCTCGCGTTGCAGAGCGAGGTGATCTCCAATGTCATGGATCAATTATGGTAACATATATCAACAGCCACATTCCAACTCCGGCCTTATGATGACGACGCAATCCCCTACTTCGCAGGTGTGCAGGCTTATTACATGACGAACAAGAATGATCAAAAGAGTTCGGGGTTTGGGGCACTCGCAAGCTGGGTCCAGATCACTGGCATCAATAACGCTCACCACGGAACGAGAACACCAGAATAGTTGCATATGCCTACCTACCTACCGATGGTACTCTCAGAGATCCTCGAAATTTAGACAAGAGCCTCATATTCCTTCTATGATTTGGTATCTGACTTGGCCGCAGAAAGCATAAACTAAGTGAGATCTCTCCATGGGACCTGTTGGTATCGAACATCCGATTATCCAGCTCCACACGCGCGCCTAACGAAACAAATCCATAAACGTATCCATCCGCATGTCGCAAAGAAATCTTTGCCACATGGCAAGACAAACGCCATACTCCTACCACCTGCCCCCTCGATGTTTACTACGCCTGAAAACAGAAAGAAAACAGAAATGTGGACCCCCTGCCAAGGTGACTGGCATGCTATATGACGAGAAGCTGTTTGCTGCCTGTCGTAAAATGACAACTGAAATCCCTAGGGAGCTGCACAGCGAGCAGCACGCTTGACTCTGAAGTCATCGAGGCAAGACTGGCACTGCAGTGATGAACAGTACGGACACTTGAACCCAACTGGGCCTCGCTTTCGCAGACAACCCATGCACTGAAATTTGCTCTTCATCTGCTGACGAGGCCAGAACTCAGAGTGGAGGCATGACTTGCGTTGAAGAGACGGGGTGGTCGCTTTCTTCGCCTTCCAGATGGCTTCTTGACCACTCTTCTCCTTGCGCAGTCTCTTCTCCTTCTCCTCGGCGGCGAGCTTCTGCTTCTGCTCCTTTTGTTCCGCTTGTGCTTTAACCTCAGCCTCTCTCTTGATTCTCTGTTCAGTGTATTAGCTCATGCTGTTCAGCTAGCTACTTCCTCCTCAAGGCTTTTGGAACAGCATGGAAAATCAGAGATATGATCCCTCGATCTTGGTTCGAAATCTGGGGGACAGTGCAGGAAGGGACCCCTTAATTTTGACCGAACTTCGAGAAATGGGGTTCCCCTCTGTATGAAGAAATGAAAAATGGAACGACTGACCTGATCTCTGGCCTGCACGCGTAGCTCCTCTGCTCTCTTCATGGCTTCTTCCATCTCCTTTATCTTCTTTATCAACTCTGCCCGAGCGTCATCGCGAAGATTGCGAGCGCTACGTCCACCAAAGCCGAATTCATGTTCGCCGAAAGGGAATCCTTCGAAGCCGAAGCCATCGAAGTAATCACCGCGTTCCTCCTGTTCATAGGAATAGTTCTCCCAGTCGTCATATTCATCTCCGCTTTGGTATTGGTCGCTGTTGAAAGAGAATCGAGTGTTCGGGGTTTGGCGGTCATAGTTGGCACGGAGCTCTTGGTTCTTGAGGATCTCATATGCCGCGTTGATCTAGACGAAGGAGGGTCAGTTCTGAAATATAGATAAGGAGGATAAGACCACAGCGTCCCTGGGGTATTGAGGAACGTGGATAGATTGATGAAAGAGCAGGCATACCTTCTGCATATTGGCCGTGGCCTCGGCGTTATCGGGATTCTTGTCGGGATGATGATCACGAGCAAGACGACGGTATGAGGATATGATTTCCCCTTTAGTAGCAGTAGCATCGATCTCGAGGGCCTCATAGAGGTCGAAAGTTGGTCGTAGCGGCATCTTGGATTCGACTTGGTATGAAGGTGTGAAGTAAAGTAAATTTTGATAGGAAAGTGTGCAAGTGTATTGCCAAGATCGGAAGATAGGAAGGCAGGGGGATGGATACCAGAGAAGAAGCCGTCGTTGTTGTAATATTTGAAGAAAGTTGTCGAACGGTCTTGGGGTGGTGAGGTGGTAAGGTGGTGGGTGAGATGGGGAGGTGAGAAAGAGTTCGTCGGAAGACGTTGAGGTCTGAAGTTATATTTCCGGACTAGGCTGTGCAGCGGTGAGTTGGATAGAAAGGACTACCAAAGTCGAACTGAAGGAGAATTTGACTTCAAAGAAAGAGGGTTGAAAAGTGAATCGATGGACTGCTAAAATTTATACCTAAGGAGCTTGATCCGACGCGATTTAAGTCTCGCGTGTGCACGTGCAATTTATCCAAAAAGTCCGTTTGTTCTAGCTCGTTAGGTTACCTCCGGGTTTCTTGTACACCATCTTCTTTTTCTGAGAGAGTAGACAAGAAGCGATTAGCTATCTCCTCCACAAGATTATATGCATTTCCTCCACTACAAGCACAAAATTTCAAACACGTACAAAAAGCAAGTTTGAAAGAAACGATATGAAGTGAGATGCTTTTGAGAAGGAAGAAATCCAGACTAATAATTGGCTTTATAGAAACCATCATTAGCTGCAAGCCTTCGGCACCCACCTTCGGCAGCTGCTACGTCGCAATCTGCTAGGCGGAATCCCAGCCCTCCTCCAGACAGCAATCAGACTCCCGTCCAGAAGACCAAAGCAGGTGGGCCATCTTCCCTCTGGCAATCCTGGGGACTGTCAAACTGGCAATGAGGTAAAAGAGACCGTGATAGCGAGCCAGCACAGCTTTCTCCTCTACAGCTCGATATCATTCTCAGCTGCATCACATTGGCCGAGTCGGTAAATGCTGGTGCTGACAATATTCGCATGCAAATAGCGAGCTGCTAGGTAGCTGCTATACAGCTTTTCCAAGTCTGTTTCAGCACCGGATGTACTCAGTGCTGCTGGGCTTCATGCTATAAAAGTACCTCAGAACACCGGAACACTCCCAGGGCAGACGGCTCAAGGATTTAGCAGGCATAACCGCAAGAAATCGCTTAAAATTTTGGTTGCAATATTGAGCCTATTTCCACGAAGAAGTGAGCTGCGTGTTGCGCTTGGAGTATATGTGAGTCGATTTACCATCTCGGGAATGGCGGCAGGAGTATTACTAGACTCGCTATGTATGCCATTTGAAAACGACCGGGATGATCAGCAAGTACTTTAGAAGTAATAGATAGGGAGAAATACTACCTCTATACAATGTGCTGATCGAAGGTTGTCTTGTCTTTCTTGTCGAGGGGTATGATCTCTATTCAGCAATATGATGCGAAGAAATGGCGGGTAGCTAGGCCACGAGGAAATCAGAGGAGCACTGAGATGCTATTGGAGATAAGACAAGGGTTTATCAGGAATAAACATACGGTTCGTGGCGATTGCTCAAACATATTTTCCGAAAAAGCAACTTCATGTCGTTGCAATTTATAAATATAGTATATGTAGTCACGTGTGGAGCATTTAGCGTGTCGGGTTTCCCTTGAACTTCAGTCGTCGGATGCCCTCCGTTGATTAACAATCGATTAACAATCATCAATCGAAGCCACCATGTTTCTCTCACGCCCTGCCCTTGCTGCCGCACGCAGAGCGGCAGTCAATCCTATAGTCAAACGTAGCTTCACAAGCTCCATTGTGCGCAGTACGAGTTCCTCCCGATCCGCAACTCATCGCATTGTCCTAACTCCGGCACCACAGGAGAAGCCGCCCCCTCACCCCCTAGCGGAGCCAACGAGAACAAGCTGAAGAAGTTCCAAGGTACGATACGAAATCTGAGCTTCATGGAGGGTTTCTGGGCGGAGTGAGTGGGTGCTGATGCGCGTATGCAGATATCAAGACCGAGGCCGACCTGTTCGGTCCCGGAGCCGCGCCAGGAACCGTTCCCACCGATCTCGAGCAGGCCACTGGTTTAGAACGACTAGAAATATTGGGAAAGATGCAAGGCATTGACATCTTCGATATGAAGCCATTGGATGCCTCCCGACTAGGTACGCTCGAAATCAGACCACAATTGAATGGGTGCGCTACGGATAGTAGGAAGATCAGTTGCTGATGGGGAAACGCAGGCACGCTCGACAACCCAATTATGGTCAAGTCATTCGGCGACGAGCAATACGCCGGTTGCACTGGGTTCCCTGCCGACTCCCACAACGTCATCTGGCTCACGGTATGTTTGGGCGTGCGTCGAAGCTGGGGCATGAGACTGATGATTGACTAGATGACTCGGGAACGCCCTGTCGAGAGATGTCCAGAGTGCGGCAACGTGCTGAAGATGGAGTACGTTGGCCCACAAGACGATCCCCATGCCCACGGACACGACCACCATGCCAAGTACGAGGAGCCAAAGACCTTCGCCGACTATGTCCGCCCTGAATACAGATAGATTGGAATACTCATGTGGGGGAATCAGAGCAGGTGTAAATGTAGCATAGTGGTCAATGGAGAAGTTCTCGATTCGTTTGGAAGGGCAACGCTGTTTGTTGAAGAATGATAACACAACAAAACATCCAACGCAAGTCGTTCTACACAGTGCACAAATTGACCTCAAAGGTACCCAGCACGTACTAACCCATTACCAAGTCGATAGCCCAGCCCTCTCAGGCAGGATTCAAACACCATCACCGTTGATTATGTCTGATTTGTTGTCATGACTTGGGTCAGTAATTCGCGAAGGTCTGCTTCCACGCCCGTTGATTCCAGTGAGCTTCTTCTGTGTCTATATATTTTTGGCTTCATAAAAGGTTAAAAGCATCGAGTATCAAGTACCAAGAAGTTCTTCAATAGTTGCTCAGCATTGCATCGAGTCTGTCGTTTGAATATCCTGAGAGCGACACCAAGTCCTTCGACTCCATCGCCCTCTCTCGCCTTTGCATCAGGCTTCGTACATATTCTACACAAAGAGGAGAATAAAATATCCAAACTCTGGCGAGTCTGAAATTTTCTATAACTGATTGAACTGATTCATAAGAGGGTTAGTTATCTAGCTGGCTGATAGTCATCGACCCTAGGCCCTTGCTGTTTCTCTCTTCAAGCTTTGTATTCTGCAGAATGTCGAAATAGATCCCGGACACGTACGCATGTTCAATCGAAAGTCACCTAATAATACTAGTCTTCTTGAAGCCCAGAAACTTCGATATCCAAGTGCTGAGAACGTCTCGGTTTTTTTTGAGTTCAAGTATGTACTCTCTTTTCCAAAGGCCCATAATCATTGCCCATCTCCCCTCCGCGAACGTACGTCCTATCCCACCCGCTGATTCGGAGACATTCCTATTCCCATCCTCAAAGCCTTGCCCTCCTCAGATTCTTCAACAATTTCAGAATCCCTGCCCCCTATCATAGATTCCTCTTCCAATCTTAGCCTTCGTTAACGGTGATCCTGGCTCTCAGCCTCACTCACTAAAAGATCCTAGGCTTGCTTCTTTGCCTTTCCAACGTACCAGTCCAAGCTCTCTCTCTCTCTCTCTCTCTTGCTCGCAGATGCATGTTGCGGGACTTTGCGGACCGTGGCATCCTCCGTCAACTGCTCAGGAGACAAGATCCCGAGCGCTCGCTCCACTCTCCAGGCCATTTCGAGGGCTAGGACCTCGCAAGATCGTACATACATGTCAGGACCAGACTCTTCCATGGTGCGAGCTGTGAAGCCGCTGCGGCCGAGGGTGCGTAGCCAGCCAGGCATCTGTATGCGTGAATGGCCAGCCGAAGCCATCCCCATCTTCATCTTTCCAGCAAGTGCAGCTCTCTGCCAAAATCGACGTCGTTTCCTTGGCTGAGCTGAGCCTTGTGTGCAGCAGCTTTTCATCCAGGCTGGTAGGTAGGTAGGCAGGTAGGTAGGTACTCGCGCGGGACCTTGGGTCTTGCCTGGAGGCGCATCCTCTAGCTTTCTCCTGAGGGCTGGTTTCTGGGCCCTCCAGAGGCTAGGCTTCTTTCTGCTTCCTGCTTGAAAGCTTGAAAGCTTGAAAGCTGCCTCCGGCAATATCTCACAGGCCGGTGGATACCGAGATAGTGGCACTTCATCTTTTCCTCTCGGATAATCCTGCCCCCTAAACTTTAGACGGCAGGGATCCGATTTGCTCGCTCGTCACGGAACGGCAGCTAATCCCTTCTTGTCAAGACCACTTCCTCTTCTTGCTCTTAAGGTGTTACACTGCTGGGAAAATGAAGCTTAGGCTTGGGGTCGGTGAGGTTGGGGAGTGGCGGGTCTTGGGAATTCCGTATGAGAATCTGGAAGAAATTCAAAGCAGCACCAACCCTCTCCCCCCGGCTCTTCCTTAAAAAAGCAGAAAGAAAAGAAAAAGATCAAAACTCAACTGGAAACTCACCTGTGACGTGGGACACAGATAAGATTCCAGTTTGTAATCTTAACTGAACATGTTTACCCGGACCGACTTGCGAGGGCCTGGGAGTCAACCTCCGAATGTCAAGATGGGTCTCCCAGTTCATTAAGCAAGTGTGAGCTTAAACCATTAGTCCATCATGTTCCTCGACCGGTCGATATCCACATCTACGGAAACCACTTCCCTAAAGTAGATAAATAAATAATCGATTTTTCTTCCACCTGATAAGCGAGAGGCCCCTCCCCTTTCCCCCCTCTGCTCTCGCTTAAGTACCACTCACTATACTAAACAAAGAATTCATTCGTAAAGTGTTGGTTCGCCGGAAGCGAACGTTCTCTCGTATCTCCTTCAACGTGCTTAGCTTAGCACGCAGGTTCTTGCAATTGCAAAAGAATGGGTTTGAATGGTATCTGACTTCTGTCTACCCCCCCAAGAATCAGGGGAGGAGATTCCTTCGATATGAGGAGACGAAGCCCCCCGGAATGGCTATCTAATGATGTTTACCAGGAATTTGGGGGCCATAAATAGGTGGCGCGCTAAGCGAACCCTGTCCATCTCCCCGAGCGAAACGAGGTCGATACTGATGAACCGACATGAAGGAACAGAGAGAGAAACCGCGCATCGACTCATAGCTACAGTTTCATTTCATTTACTACTAGACCACTTTACAATCTCTGATTAATACGAAGTATATGTCATATCATCGAATACGCGTACAGCTCGGAAGAGGGAGGAGGAGCTGGACGTATTTCAGAGAATGAAGGCTCGCGCGAACCTCTCTCTCTCCCTCTCATACCTTCCTAGCAAAGAACCCCCCCACACCCCCCCTTTTTTTTTCATTTTTTCTTTTCTTTAAATTTTTTTTTTTTTTTTTTTTTTTTTTTTTTTT